ACTGTTCACTCTCAGGGAAACTAGCTGACTTTCCGCGGTCTCAGGACTGCTCCTCTAAGGATCATTTTCGTTTTCAATCAAGTACTTCGCTGAGCTCTCAAAAATTTATGAAGTGCTTGTCAACGAACATCCGCTCCTTTTTTAAAAATGTCCATTCGCTCATATTTCTGCTCTCCAAGACCAACTATGGAATGATAGCTCTTTCAGAGACATTGTTGAAAACAAATTTTTAATTTCTTTGTTACTCGGTGAGGTTGGGACAGACTATGTAGTGTTCAGGTGTGATCGTAAACGTAAGAAGGGTGGAGGCGCGGCGTTATTAATCAGCCACATGCTTTGTCCGGTGTTTGTTTTTGGGGAGTCCGTTCCTGACGGCTATGAGATTGTTGCTGCTGACACTTATGCCGAAGGCAGTAACTTGAGAATAATTCTATGTTATAGAGCCCCGCGTTGCGCTAATGATAAATGTGAAAAGTTGATTAAATGCATCAGTGACCTTTGTGTGGATTCGAGAATTTGTATCCTCACAGGGGGCTACAACTTCCCAGATATTGACTGGAGGGTTCGGGGGTGTCGCTGTTTGGGAATAACCCAAAAGTTCTTGGACATGGTCAGAAATCATGACCTACATTAGTTTATAAGGGCTCAAACCAAAGGTTCAAAGGTTTTAGATCTTCTATTTTCCACTGATCGATCTATTGTCAGAAGAGTAGAAGTTGTTCCGCCAGTAGGAACTAGCGATCACGCGAGCATGGAGTTTTGTCTGAATTTGCGTAGATATATGAGGAAACTTGTTTTCGTTCGTGATTTCAAAAAAGCGAATTATGAAGAAATCTCAAGGTTTTTGAACTCGATTGATTGGTATAGCTCATTCATAGGTCTGAATGTAAACGAAATGTACGAGTTGGTTCTTTTTGTACTTCAACAATGCGTTGATAGATATGTTCCAGTGCGTAAGGTGCGATTGTGCCAAGCGCAAGTACCACGTTTCCTTCGTTCCCTTTTTGACAGGAAAGCTAATGCCTATAAGAAAGCAGTTGTGACTAATACTCCCAATGATTGGAATAGTTACTTGATCTTAGCGAGAAGGTTCGAAAGTAAAATATATAAATTTTATTGCTTGGTAAAAAAGCAAATAGTCGATAGTGGCAGGCCGTTGATTTGTGCAAATATATCTACTTCAGAACAAAGTCAAAAAAGAGAATTCCAACATTACAGACGGCTGATGACTTATTGATTTGTTCCGATTTAGAGAAAGCGGAAGATTTCTCCGAACTTTTTTCGAAAGTCTTTGTTGAAGACAGGAGGAACTCTAGTGTTGATGTGAGGTTACCTGGGGTTTTCCAACGAATGGGTGACTCATGCTGGTTTAATGAACAAGAAATCTTTGATGTTCTTTCAAAATGGAAATCCAATTCCACCATTACCCCCGATGGTATTCCTTTTCGGTTCATCAGGAAAGTATTACCCTCTATGGTAGGCCCCCTGAAGTTCATCTTCAATTTAAGTCTGTTTCGAGCTGAAGTGCCTGACGGGTGCAAGTTGTCATATGTTGTTCCTATTCCAAAAAAGCCTCCGCATTCGATCCCCAGAAATTACAGGCCATTACATCTATCTTTTGTAGAGCTTTTGAGAAACTAATGAAAAGGGTTATTGAGGAACATCTCGAAAAGCAGCGTATTCTTCCTGATTGCCAGCATGGCTTCAGGAAAGCCAAGTAGACGGTTACTCAGTTGCTAGAGAGTTTAAATGATTGGACAGATGCTTCAGAGCAGAAGAAGAGTATTGATGTGGTTTACTTTGACTTTTGCAAGGCATTTGACAAGGTGAACCACGTCAAGCTTATTCAGAAGCTCAAACATGTTGGAATCCACCACCGGATTACAGCATTGATCAAGAGTTATTTGAGCGGACGAT